GGCCTTGTCACGTTGGCTTCACGTTTTCATCCGACAAACTTTCTCGAAACAGCTGTATACAAGCCCAGAATTCTCCCAAGTCTTTATCTTTCAAAATGTAAATTTACACAACCCTGTGTTAATCTCACCATTTACAGGGAATAAAAAGTCCTAAAATAAGGCGAGAAGAATTTGTTATCAGGTTTTTATTTTATCTTTGTTACCAAAAAATTACGAAATGTGACCGTCGTTGGTGTAATCTTTACTACCACACCCCGCCCCCACTCCTGCTCCAAAACGTAACTTCTCCCCACTCGTGCTTCTCAGAAGAAGTACGGAAAATGTTTCGTATTTAATATTCGAGGATAAAAACTACGTGATAGGGTCTTTTATTGTCCTGCTAATGTCACCCACGCTCTCACTGGTAGGCTCGATTTCCGCTGCTCTCTCGAGTAGAGTCTTCTTTCCAGAATAGCGACTGGTAATCTCACTGATTGAGCAGTCGTTTTGCTTAAGGCATTTTGTTGGCCTTGGGAGGATTGGAAAATGATAACACAGGTTGGACTTTTCCCTCTTGCTGGTTAAAAGACACGTTTTATCCGAGTCTAAGTGGATCATATTTTGAGCTTGTATGGTGTAGAAATGGGTACCAGGCAATATAATGTAATCAATGGTGGAGATGTGCGGATGGACTAGTATCCTATCCAGGGGGGAGTAGAAATTACTCCTAGTCCCCTCGTGCTACTAAAATCAGAGATAAGAACCGGTCTGATGGGCCACTGGGTTCGTAGAACCTTAAGCTTACTGAAATAACCCATCCGCGCCCTCCAGTAACATCAGGGAGTTTACGAAACCACGGCGGCAACAGCGACGGGAACGTCACTGAACAAACGAATTAATGAGCAGAACAATAGCTGTGTACGTGCGTTATAATTCTTGGTACATTTCTTTGCCGTCCTTTGCAAGACAACGACGTGAAATGAGCAAATTTTGCGTTGTCTGGAGAACGTGAACCAAGACGGCTAATTTTTTAATTTTTTATTTCAAATTTATCGCTGTGTTCCGGATCTAGATTTGCGATAGTTTTGACAGTGATAAACAAAGTAAATGACTTTAGAGTATCGCGAGATTCGTAGGTAAAGTATAAATTCAGTTTTTAATCGACGTTGTCCTCGGCGTCGCCGTCGTGGTTTCGTAAACTCCCCATTTAATCTTTTTGGACGTCTTTTTGTCTACGTCACACTGGGAACGAGTCTCTGACGTGATTAATTGTAATAATATTTTAATAGTTCTGGCCTCTGACGCACTGATTTGTATATGTATGTTCCTGCCATGTTTAGTTTGTAAATATATCTTATTAACCAAGCGCGAGGGTCATTCGTGATAGAACACTAGTAGATTTAGACTAAAACTCGATAGAAATACGGAGAACATGTTTCCTATTTCCTTTAGAAAATACCGCGACAAAAATAAGAAAAACAGCTTGTCTACTTTGATCCTCAAAATGTAGATTCTCTTTGCTCGCGCCATCATTAAGTCAACAGCTATGTATTCTGTTAGGTTGCGTTTTCGAGATGTCTGTAAAGAGGGTTTAGTTAAAGTTTTGAACGACTACTAGATTTATACTAAAACAATTAGATTATCCGCTCTCGATTTCGATAGTCAACTATCACGCGACAGAAATCTCCAGCTCATAATGTAATTGTTTAATAGAAACACGATTTCAAACCAATTAGGGCGCGTATTTTCTTTGGGCTATCATTTAAATATATATAAAATATCTGTAGACAAAGCTAGCTTTTAGTTTTAAGATTTTATCTAAGCTGTTATATAGAGTGTTTTACAACAATTTAATATTACTTAATGATATTGTGTGTAGATCAAAACACCTCTTCAGATTCTAGTACCTTTTAAGTAAATCCCTCTCGCGTGATCCAGTTGTTTTTCTTCTACACATTAAATACCGTTAATAAAAATAGCTATTTTAGCTTAAGTAACATTCTATAATGGGGTTTCCTCTGTTTAAGAAAAAGCATTTAATATAAATCGTTATTGAATTCCAGCAAAATGGTTAATATCAGAAACAAAGCACTTCAGTGACGTGTGCGACAAATGAGCAGTAGCATAATCCGAACAATAAGAACATGATGATAAATAAGTCAGATACGGATAGTATTATTAAATAACATCGATAAAATACTAGAAACTGCACTAAACAATATTTTCCTTAGTAATCCTGATTTCTGTTGCTTGAGAAATAACTTGTTTGTTAATTGTTGCTGATATTAATATCGACGATGTGTTACTAAGATGGCAAGTCGCTAAAAACTCTACAAATTATTTACGGAATACTTTCCTTCTCCTGACTTGATCAGTTAGTGTAAATTTAAATCGTATTTGGCAATAGCAAACTACAGTTAATATCAGCAACGTGATCGCTCTTAAATCAACTATACGGCAAACAGGCAATCTGGCATTATAACAAAAAGCATGATAAAATAAGTCTATGGATAACACTACTACATTACAAAGCAGCGTTAACTGGGTGAGCTTGTATGTGTACAAGCACCAAAATTATTTGCTCCCTAGAATCCATGACTCCTATTTCTCGAATATCAGAGATGTTCACTGATATCATACACGTTGGAGATTAATCAAAACGTGTTTATACACCGATCAAGAACTAATTATGGCAAATGCAGGGTCAGATTTGCTGCTAATGATTTTTTGAAGTAATATACCTCAAAACATCAAGAATGCCACATCTCGTCAGAGAGTTAGAAAAGCCTGCTTACATCAGAAGCCTAAGAGTGACTTCCTATTTAGTTATAATACTTTTTCCCTTTGTTATTTATCTATTAACACGTTTTTTTATTTTTCATCTACTCCGGTTTATCAAATTACTTGTTTCCACGAAACTAACTTCTATAGGCGTGTGTTCGCTAGTTAAATAAAAAAAACCTCAATAATTAATATCTTCAGTGAAATATTAGATTAGGTGAGGTGAAGTCTTTTTAACCTAGTGGGCTTTCGTTCTCACACTTCCACATTTTTTTAAATCTCAGTTTAGTTAAGACTTTTGTTGCGCGGAAATAAAGNTTGCGTGGAAATAAAGAGACTTGAAAAGTGAAACTTCACCTAACTTTACATTTGTGAACCTTTCCATTCAGTCTAACTTAACACGTACTTAGATAAATGGGTAGTTATATCTTACTCGGTGACGGTTTAAGGATAAGGATATTATACAATTAATTTCAAATAAGTGATTTCATTATTGAGAGAAGGGCTTTCCCGAATGTGCAGAGCTTCTTTGATCTTGAGCTGGAAGGTGGTGCCAGCTTGATCAATCACGTGAAAGCAATCCCTGGTGCTTAGGGCTCGGCAGCTCTCAGAATCAGAATAATATCACCTAATCAAGCATGTTAATCTAAACTTGTTATTGGAATTCTCACACTTTTCATAAGTGTGAAAATGTTTCTCTTCTTCCAGCTATTGTACTCATTAGCATTTTCCAGTATTTACATTCTAAGCTCTTTGCACATATTGCAACTCACCAATGAAGGCAGATGTTTCTGCCGAAACATGTCTGTGAATTTTAAAATTGCCGTCATTTATTTGAAATTAATTGTTATCTTCGTGCAATCCAGACCTTTCAATAAGGATATACAGTTTGGTAAATAGCAATGCTATTTCATCCTAAACAAAACACACTAAATTAACGATTGCTGGGCATAAAAGCCGTAAAAGCCACCAGTAAGTCATATTTACTCTTATTTAACGGACACTCGACCATTTTCCCAATTTCTTTCCAGTGGTGCTCGTCTTGACTTGTTCACTTGGTGGTTCATCCTGAGCTCCAAGATCTTCAACCTTGGAGTATTTCACGCTATCATATTTTCCCATGTGGACCAATTCCGTGTATGTCTGGAAGGAATAATTATAAGAAATGAGTACAACGAGAGGTTTTAAACATTAAGAGAAAATAGTAATAGTATTAGTAATAGTAGCAGTAATAGATATTTATATAGCGTTCTGTTCTAAGCACTTTACAAAACTAACAGAGCTAAAAAGATAGTTTTAAGAGATTAAAAAGGAAGTTCTAACAGATAAAAATACACCACAAGTTCGAGTGGCAAGTGGACAGAAACTTTGTACCGTGATTATTTACATCGTTTTGCAAACTTCTGTGCCACTGCTTTAGATATCTTCTAACAAAAATCATTTCTATTAACACCAGTAGTCGAAAACTAATTTTCAACACTTGAAAGTACTGGTGAAATGAAATTGATGATGAAATTTTACCTGTGTTTGCGCATTTTCTCTGAACTTTGAAATTTATTTTCTCGAGTTCCCTTAGGAATTTGTTACCTGTGTTATTTCAAGCAACCATTTACATCTTTAACTTTAAGAAAATGTAAAAAAGGACTGTAAAATATCTGAAATTATTCTGGTACAAGGTTTTTGTCCACTACAAACGGAAATTTCTCGATTTCCTATCGGATTTTGAAAACGGCTTTTTTTTTAGTGAGAGAATATTTCTGCAATTACAATCATCGTGTTTTAGAGCCAAGTTCATAGAATTCTGTTAACCTAGGTTATTGATTGGCTCATTATCACAAACCTCCTCACGAAGGTATGTATCCATTCTTTTTCGTAGGTTTTCAAAAGGAAGACGGAAGTCTGGGTTTAAGTTCCAGCACCTGGTCATTACATCATACCTAAAAATGGACACGTTGAAATTCATAGCCATTACTAGTCTGATCTTACTACATGTTTTTTTTTTTTTTTAAATAATAATTTTCAAAACGTCTGAGAGAAGAATTACGTAAATGTAATACCTTCCCTTAAGTAATTTCAACTGAACTTTAGTTATGGTGAACAATTTGTGCTGCATAAAATGATTGCCAAAAACTTGCAGGCATTTATAAGACACCAGAATATCTGTTAAAAATGGTCAGACTTTTTAACATCCTTTGAATATTGAGGCAATAATTGTTCACATTGCATTTAGACTGTAAGAAAATGGCCAGTTAGGTCCATGGCGCACTCAAGTTGACTTCTGCTTAAAGAAAACGAGGAGGAAATGAAGAATTTTAGATATTTTAAGCCAGAAATAAAGAATAAACAATAAGTGTGCATATCGTGTTCCATATCGGCCAATAGTCAGCGAAAACCAGATATCACAATAATAATAATAGAAAAGTTATCGTTGGCACGTTAAGAACGCGCTTACAATTAATAACTTAAGGTAAACACTTAAATAGTGATTAATAAATTTACAATTGGTCGTCAATGTGGTCAGGCTTTGGCATTTGATATCCATTCAGGACTGCTTGAACCACTCTTCCTTCTGACCATCCTGGGTATGGAATTCCTCCTGTCAAGGAATACAGGTGTGTTTTAACTCAGTTATGAGTTAGTCTAAAGAAAAACACTCTTTCGTTTTAGAGCAATCTATCCCTCAATGTAAGTGTGCTGTGAGCTGCTAACTAGGTGTTTGCCATTTTAGTTTCAGCTTCCTTTTGTCTTTATTATTCTTATTGCTGTCGATATTCAACAAATTTTTAAACTTACCGATGGTGAAGATCTCGTACAAGACAATTCCATAAGACCACCTGTAAATTAGTAATATAGATCAAAGCTGGATATACTAGTGTACTATAGACAAGAACAGAAGTTACACAATAGACTAATAATGTCACTGTTTTAAAGATCAAGTGAGAGTGTATACTAGAATTCTACAGATCGAAGAATACAAGGTAAAATTATAATAAAATTATGGTTGTTTTTCTCGTGCTTCAAAATTCTGGCAAATTTATGAAGCTCATAGTAAACCCCAGATTAAAATCGCTGGACGACTAATTTGCAATTTTAGACCTAAACAATTAACGCAAATGTCATTATTTGACCATGAGTCTTTGTGCGACTGGAGAATAAGCTTTCATGCTTATTATAATGGTAGTCGATTATCTCATCTGCTCTGTCTACCAAATCCAGCCAGAATTTGTTGCAGCAATGGCAAGCAGTATTTCTGGAAGTAGTTACTTGCTTTATCTTTTCGTTTTGATGAAAATAATGAGATTAAATGTGCTATTACACTACCTAATATTTCTCACAACTTGTCTCTCGCCGAGAAATTCCCTAGCGTATAACCCCTGGAAATGAACATGTCTCGCAACGGTTTTGTTGCAGTAACCGTTTCACAAGGTAGAATTAAGCTCGATTTTCGCTACGTTGTTCATGTCAGAAAATGCTACACTAGGCAACGTCTCTTAGAACTTCAGTTGTTTCGCAACTGCGCAACAAAATTGCGAGGCAAGTTGCAAGAAAAATGGACTTGTATCACAGAGCCTCAACTGACGAGGGCAGCAGGAAAAATCTATATTGTACATACACGTCACTTTGGGTTGAGAGCTCAGCAACATTTCCTGACAGAATCTCAGGTGCAGTCCATTTGATTGGCATACAGCCCTGTAAATACAACAGTATAAAGCTTGTTAGTGAACACTCAGTATGTTTTGTTGAAAATCTCTATTAGCCAATTAACGTCCAAAAAAGACAAAGTGGCTCTGAAACCCCTGCCGCTTTTAAACTTGGCAAAAATACCTATTTTAAAATGCTAATCACAACATCAACAAAAAAGAGTGGTCGTAATTGATTCAGCAAAAAAAATGCGAAAAACCCTGGTAACAGTTGTGACCCACCTTTTAAGTTCTTTTAAACAGTTAAAACTGTTTCCCTCCGCACCAGTTATTGTGTTAGTTGTGTAATGGCTTTGTAAAATTATAAATAGATATACCTTTTTAGCATTTCCATGTCCATACTTAAAATCTTGATAAGCCAGACCAAAGTCGGTAACTTTGCAAACAAAGTTGTCATCAAGAAGAACATTACGAGCTGCCAGGTCACGATGGATTATCTACAAATATATATTATTTTACATTTTGAATAAAACAGTTGTCAAAAAGCACCATTTAGTTTTTGCCCTTTGGAAAAAAGGTCTAGACTCTTTCCCTGGTTTTTGGAACCTGGGTCCTTCAATTTAAACCAAATCTTTAGAGGAAGTCAGTGTTATATTCCAATCCAGGGATAGGAGAAGACTTAACCGCTTAAAAGAATTCAAAAGCTGCAATCAACATGTTGAAAAGTTGATTGAAAGCACCTGGGACACCTTACAATTCTTGAGCAGTGAGAAAGTACTAAATATTTTCAAAATACATATCACCAAAAGTGGGTTACTATGCTAAACTCTAGATTAAGTGGTCGGGGAATATTTGGAAGTGCCTTTGGCTGACACACTTTATTTTCGCAATGCCACTCCCACCCAGGTCTATAAAATGAGTACCGGCAGATTTTATGTTGGCGGTTTAAAGTTCAGTTCTTGAGCTTCTTACGCCAGATTTTCTTGCAATTCTCAACGCAGCTTACTTCCACGGGGAAATGTCTATTTCTCAAAGGAAAGGATCGAGTTATTACACTGATTCCGAAAGACGACTCCAACTTCCTTGATCATGAGCTGTCAAACTGGCACCCAATCACCGTATGAAAAGTGAATTATAAAATTGCTTCAAATGCTAAAGCATCGACAATTAAAAAAGTAATACCAACTTTAATACATTGTGACCAATCCGGTTTCATGAAAGATCGATTCATTGGTCAAAATATTAGATCGATAAATGAGATTCTTGAGCAAACTGAATTACAGAACGTTCCTGGCATTTTGCTCCAGCTGGAGTTTACGAAAGCCTTTGACATAGTTGAGTGGCCGGTTGTTCAAGTTTAACTTTGGTGATAGCATAAAGCGTTGGGTTCAAACCTTCTACTGTAATGTAGAGAGCCCTATTGCATAACTGCAGTACATACATAACTTTATTTTGACTCGAATTTACAGGGTAGCTAAGACAGGGTAGCTGTGTTTTTTTGTATGTAGTGTATGTAGCTTTTCATTGTATGGTATTAGTGTAACGTTGCAGCATAAGTATTGTAAAGTGTAAGCAAACATAATAAAACTAAATTCCCCCCCCCCNAAAAAAAAAGAAAAAAAATTCCAGGGGAGGATTGGGCATACTCCTAGACCCTTCATGCTACGGAAACGTGTTAACGTTTGTTTTTTTTTTTCTTTTTTGCTACTTTTTTGTTCTTATCACACGCTGACATCACCTTAATAAGTCACTAAACAGTCGCACAGCAACAAGGAGTCTATTTATTAACCTTACACAATGTACCGTAGGAAGTTTATCAAAGAATATATGCTTTGAAAATCATAGTACACCAACATACTACACTGTAGTTACCAGTGGCAGATTTAGAGTTTGTCCAAATGTGGACTTAGCCTGTGGAATTCTGTTGCAGTCTGATTTCTGTGAGATGTTTACTTACCCCTCTAGATCCAAGAAACACCATACCAGCAGCAATTTGTTTGGCAAACAGCACTAGGTCATATATTTCCAGCTCTGGAACACTCCCCTGTCCAAGATGATACTTATCATGAATTCCACGGCTTTTCCTCAGATAACCCAGCAGGTCACCACATGCCAAGTACTCCATGATCATCATTGGATGAACTAAGAGCATGAGAGCATGATCAAGAATAATAATCTACAGTCAACCTACCTTTTGAGGCATTCTATATTTTTGGGAAATTTCAATGACGTGGCAACCTAATAATTACTGTATTGGACATAGGATTGAGTGGTCCAGATCTGGGACTCTGACATGTCAATTTGTTGTCTTGTTAGACACTCGTTTTGTTTTGTTTGAAAATGAGGAACTTTGCCAATGTTGACAATGTTTCATTTTCTCCCAGGGGTTAAGCAGGCTTTGGCTTAAATTGCAATAACTGAGATGATCACATTTTAATTTCATTTGCATTTCTGCAGTTCACATCATTCATTCTACATAAACCTATATTACATTTCATCTCAAGTCGTACATGAAATAATTATTTTCCACAGTTCACTTGCCAAGCAAGATAATTGCAACTTTCACCTTGAGTTGTAACACAGCCAATAAACTCAACAATGTTTGGCTGAGGTTTTTCTGCAAGAAGTTTTCCCAGTTCAATTTCTCTCATCAGAGATCTCCTACCTTCTTCCCCAGAAGTGGCTACAATGTAAAAACACAATATAATAAGGTACAATTATTGAATTTGTCAATTGGAATTTTCTGAATTTGTCAATTCGAAAGCACATCTTCAGACACGCAAAGGATCTCAAAACCGTTTTCAATTAACGTTTCATTATTCAAAAAAGGCAACAAAACAAATTCGATTGTCTTATCCACGAAATGTTAACTTTTCAAGATCTCAAGCCAGCTTTGAACGTGCAAACTGACTCTACTACTCAAAACTATTTATGTGAGATCACAAGAAAATGTCTATTATTCTTGTTCCACCAATTTATATTCACACCGCGTTAAAACTGTCACTTTTACCTTGATAATGATGTCAGCAACATCGAAACGTCGGACAGCTCTAATATTATTATTTCTATCGAAGTTTTTCAGTAAACCACAAATAAATAGTAGCTATACAGTATATGCTATTAAAAAAAAAAATATTAACGATTTCAACGGTTCGGAGAATAGCACTCTAACTTCATTTTGTTTGTGTGGTCGCAGGAAACCAAGAAATTCAAATGTTTAGTAGTTGCAATGGTGAATACTTAAGCTTCCAAAATTCCTTAGTTATGATTATGCATGCATACATAATACAGTGTAGGAAGAGCTGGAGTATGGATCGACTCCGGTGTTCCAGCCCTGTCCCAGTGGGTCATAGCATTATGTTCTTGGGGTAGGCAGTTTGTTCTAACAGTGCCTCTCTCCACCCAAGTGTACGAATGGTTACCTGGAAGTTAAATTCTGGGAGGTAACCCTGCAACGGACTGGTGTCTCATGTATACATCTGGTTGCTTCATGCTAAAATCTGGATTAAAACTACCTGGCACACACAGAGACTTCACTTTCTAATTAATACAATGAAGTAAAAATATTTGAATGTATTCTTGTTTGATTTCCTGTATTTAGGCCATTTGAAGTATTGAGAATTTTCTACCCAACAAAGTAAGCAAATTAAAAACCAAAACGTTGGTATTTACCACGCAATTTTCCCAAACAGCTACCTTTCTTGATTTGGTCCTGTTTATTTGGTATAGGCAGTAATATTGACACACTTTTTAAAATTTTGGTAGAAATTGGATAACGTACCCCGTATGCTGGCAGTATAGATCACGCAAGTGAATACATGAAAGATCATATATGATTATATATGATCATTCAAGACTGATTTCTTTTTCAGGCTTTAATTTCACAGTTGTATATAACTGCGATGGTCCTTCATGTCCTCATATCTTTCTCTGAAGTTCTATATATTATCTTTCATATATTCACTTACATTCTTACCATCTCCCAGTTGGCTTGATAACTCAGTCCATTGTTAGAGCACTGCACAAGTTTTGCAGAGATCATGGGTTCCAATCTCATTCAAGCCTGATTTTTTTTTTCTTCAATTTCACAGCTTCTTAAGTTGTGCATATAACTGCGATGATCCTTCATGTCTTGAATACAGATGACCAGGAACTGTTGGAAGAAAAACGTCGACCCTTTCAAACATGCCAGAATCACCACCCCTCATGCCCATAAAAAGGCCACATTCACCAGCATCTGCAGACCCATTCGCAACAAGCTTGACAACATGCAAGATGCTTGACTCAGTATTAAGGCAGATGAGAAAGCCATCAAGCAAATGTCCACTAGGAAAACCCCAGGATCGGACGCCATCCCTGCTGAGGTGTACAATGCAGGTGGTATCACCCTCTTCCAGCCCATGTGGGAAAAAAAAAAGCTCCCTCAGAACTTTAGGGATGCCACAATCGCCCACATCTACAAACGCAAGGAGAACCGCCTGCCCTGCAGCAACTACCACAGAATCTCCCTCCTGTCCATTGCCAGCAAGGTCTTGGCCCGTGCGCTGCTGAACTGCCAGCTACACCACCTAGAGTGGGGCCTCCTTCCTGAGAGTCAGTGTGGTTTCTGCGCAGGTTGAGGAAAAGTGCAAGGAGCAACTACGAGATCTCTTCACCACCTTCAAGAACCTGACTAAGGCCTTCGACAAAGTCAGCAGAGAAGGGCTCTGGAAGATCATGTCCAAGATTGGCTGCCCTCACATCGGTCGCTAACAAACAAACTTCCTCCCAGTAACCAACGGCGTCAAACCAGGCTACATGCTTGCCCCAACACTGTTCAGCACGATGTTTTCGACCATGCAAACCCATGCATTCAGAGGCTGTGATGCCAGCATTAAGATCCGGTACAGGTTCGACGGGAAACCGTTTAACCCCAGGGGCCCGTTTCTCGAAGGCCCCGGAAATTTTTAAGGTCTTCAAAGCCATTTTTAGATAATCTGTATCTAAAAACTGAGAGGTTTATACGCCTGAAACACCTTGTTTGAAGAGAACCTCTGTTCAAATTAAGAATATGTGAATAAAACAGCTCTGTAATCATAAGGTTTTAGATTTTGCAACGGCTTTCCGGGTGCGAAAACTTTTTTAGCACCTTCGAGAAGCGGGCCCCAGATGCCTGCAGGCCATCAGGAAAGTGAGGAAAACTGCCATTAGAGACCTTCTCTTGGTGGATGAATGTGCTCTCAACACCAACAAGAGATGCAACTGGAGGACGACAAGATCTCTACATCCTGTAAGAACTTCGGTCTTACCATCAGTACTAAGATGACAGAAGTGATGTTCAATCCCATACCAGGACCCTTGCGTCACAGTGAAAGGACAGCAACCCCAAGCAATTGAGAACTTCACGTACCTTAAAAGCACTCACACTCACTCAGCAAGCATCGATGTTGAGATCAACAATAGAATCTCAAAAGCCAAAAGCACTTTCGGGAGTCTCCGAGAAACAGTCCGAGAGAAGAGAGGAATCAGCATGGCCACCAAACTTTATGTTTATAGAGCAGTAGTCTTCACCACCCTGCTGTATGGCTGCAAAACCTGGACCACCTACAGATGACACAAGAAACTGTTGAATCGCTTTCACATCACATGTCTCCAGAAACTCATCATCTGCTGACAGGATAAAATCCTAGACACAGAAGTCCTCCAATGAGCAAACTCCACCAGCATCATCTCCATCATGTGTAATGCCCAAGTTAAATGGGTAGGCCACATTACCCGCATGCCTATCAACCACATCCCAAAACAGCTGTTCTATGATAACTTCTGCCAAGGCAAGAGCACGGTCTGTAAGCCCTTCAAAGAACGCCTGAAGATCTGTTTGAAGGATTTCTCTATTGAGACCGCTTCATGAAAGGCCGTTACTTCAGACCGCCCCACCTGGCACAGCCTGGTTGCCACTGAAGCTCGGACAGCCGAACAATGCAGAACTGCCACAGCACAGAAAAAGCAAGGGACGCACAAGGCCAGAGCAGCAAGCATCCAGCACCTCACATCCACCCACAGGTGCCCAACCTGTGGGAGAGGGTTCCACACCCAGATTGGCCTCATCAACCACCTCCAGACACATCATATTTGATTTCATGATCATCTTCGACTACAAAGGACTAACAACAACACAACACAGATCATAGTAACAAAGCAAATTTGCATTCTTATTTGATATTTGAGCTGTCAGCGTAAAATACCCAAACTATATCCCAAGGACAGTTTTGTGAGGATGGAGATCTCATTTAGCTCCCAAAACAAAGAATTGAGGTACGCAGTTTTATGTTGCAATTTCAAAGTTAAATGTTTTTCGATTTTGAGGCTGCATGCCTTGTGTAAATTAATATTTTCCTAAAGAGAGTCCAGAACTTAAACCGACAAAACTACTCTCCTTTGCTTCAAGTAAAAAGCAAACCAAAGCAACGAGTCGCTGTTTTTACTTCATTTGTTTATATCTGCCAGCTGTATATAAATGTCAATTTTAGCAAGATTAACTAATTAATACAGCAAAACCCCGCTTGTAAAAACCTAGTGGTTTAAGAACCTGCTGGTAGAGATTTGCCATTTTAATACTATACCCAAAAATATAAGGACCTGTTTTGCCAAGTAAGATCATGCAGGTTCTTTTATGTAGGTTACAGTTAAATTATGATAAACATTTTAACCAGAGTGTGACTTTGAGATAGCAACTTTTTCTGGTAATCAACAACTCTAATCCTCTTCATACAAATTAAGAACCTACTTGGCCTAAATTGTCAATAACTACCCCAAAGTTCAACAGCCTAGACTTCAAAAATGTGGGTTTTTATTGTATAGAAATTACAACGATTTCTGAGTAACTTGGGGACCTTTGACCACACAAACAGAGGATAGTAAGCCTGTAGTCAGAGACATAGATTTAATAGTGGAGCTCTGGCAGCCTGAAAAGCCACCAAGCAGAGCACCATAGCCATAGGAACAGAAACAAATGCATGCATAGAAAACCACGCATCCCTTTTTTCATGGTAAACATGGCTAGCAGCATGGATTGTAAGTGTGTGCTCCCTACGACCACAACGATGGTGCGCAGCATGGCGATGGACAGCAATGTGATGGTCATATGACAGCTGTCAAAACAAGGTATCTGCTGACCAGTATCACATAATCATATCGAGGTTGTGTGTTTTTTTTAA